AGGATGTGGAGAAAAGAGAGCCCTTATACACTGTTGATGAGAAGTATAGTTATGATAGAAACCAGCAAGGAGGCTTCTTAAAAATTGAAAACCAGAACTACCATATGATCCAGCAATCCTACTTCTAGATATATAGCCAGAGGAAGTGAAATCAGTATGTTGAAGAGATAGCTGCATTCCCATGTTTACTATAGCACCATTCACTGTAGCTAAGCAATGGAATCGATCTAAGTGTCTATCAACTGATGAATGGATTAAAAAGGTGATGTGTGTATGTGTGTATGCATGTGTGTGTCCGAATACTATTTAGCCCTGTAAAAGACAACATGACTGGAACTGGAGGCCAAGACATTAAGTCAAATAAGTCAGGCACAGAAAGATTAAGTCACTCATAGGTGGACTCTAAAATGTTAATCTTAGAGAAGTTGAGGATAGAATAGTGGTTTCTAGAGGCTGGGGAGAGTACAGGGTAGGAGAGATGGGGAAAGTTGGTCTTTGAGTTCTAAATTACAGTTAGGAGAAAGACATTCTGGTGTTGCATTGCGTAGTACAATGACTGTACATAACAATTTTGAGAAAATGGTCTGCCCTGTTCAGGGCTACAAACAAAACCTGGTCTTACCTGAAAACTAAGAACTCTTAGCAACGTTAGCAGCATGCTTCCTCAGATTCAGAACTTCCCAGGGAAGGGTTTGTCTTGAAACAAGATTTTCTACAAAAAGCTGAGGCTGGAGCCAGGTAGCCTACAGTTCCATGCAGTGCTTATGCAAGCCAGAGGGCCTGGAGTGAAGACTGATGTTGAGCTGCTATTTAATAATAGTCAAGCACTATACATTGGCAGGCTGCCCTCCTAAATCGGGATAATCTCAGTTTGAAATGGCCCGCGCTGCTGAATGATTAGACCTTCCATTCAGAAATCGTGGTTGCTGTTAAACAGGAAGTAGTTGCTAATTGTGCAAAAAGAAAATACAATTGGAATAGGTAAGAGAGCCTCAGAGAAAAACTAAAGAACATAATTAGGCTCAGTTTCTATTTAGTTTCCAGTTTATGTAGGGAACTCCAAGTTGCTCCAGTCACAGAGAATATGGTAATAAGAGCCCCTGATTCTCTGGTGTTTGGGGCAAGTATGGACATTATGTGAATATTATGATTTTTTTTTTAGCACAAAGATTTCCTCAAGACACCTTCTAACTGCAGTTGTGGAATGGGTGGAATATTCCTAGCAGGAGCTCAAAGGACTGTAAAGCTGAATAACATCTTTGTCTCAAGAACTTATATGAGAAACTCTTTTTTTTTTCCCTTTTTTCCCTAAGAGCATTTTGTGGTTCACCATAGCAGACACTGCATATCTTTGTGTCCCACACAGTCCCCGTGTTGTTTGCTAGTTGTGGTCATTTAATTGAAAAAAGCTGACATGGAGGTATTATAGGTCCCAATCGGTCATTTTTGTATCAAGTGTGGTGTTATTGCTTTTGACCAAACCCCTTCGAAGACCAAATTTATTACAGTTCTTTAAGAACATTAATAACATAGGATAATAGAAAGCTGAAGAAAAGATGTGTGTGGCCTTGAAATACACCAGTTGTCTACAGTTCTGAGAACTGCGCACATGGCATATTGCCATTCCAGCATTACAGAATTCTGGATTGCGCAGATCTGCTGGTACTTCTTATGGATTTTCCTTTGGAATGAGGTGACAGAGGACAGAAGACTGTGCCTAGGAACCTCTCTCCTGCTTCCCCCAGGAAGATCCCGGAAACCTCCATCTCTCCCAACCCTTCAGAAAGCTGCCCCACCCTCTCCCGGAGCAGGTGGACTTAGCACAGCCTGCTCTCCCATGACTCCCCAGGCACCTGGCAACCCTGGCTACACAGGGCAGTGACACGGAAGTCCCTCCAGTGATCTGTGCTTGCCCTCCCTCAGGCCCCTGACCTGGGCAAATGTGGGCATGAACTCAGCTGTCCATCAGCTTGCCCATCTTTCTTATTTTACTTTCTGTGCGATTCTGTGTCATTCTTCTTAATCTTTGATTTCAGAAGTTTATATACAGAGTGGCAGAAAATAGTGTACTGAACCCCTCATGTCTCCAAGACCCAGCTTCAACAGCTACCAACAAAGAAACCGTTCTTGTTGTATCTTCCTCTTCCCTTTCTCTTTTGTTTTAAATTCCAGTTACCCTATTTTACCTATAAATATTTTAGTGTGCACCCCTGGCATGTGTAGCACAACTTTTTAGAAACTTAACCACAATAGCATTATTACACCAGCAAATTTACTAATAATTCCAAAACCTGCCTCAGATTCATTTTCCTGAATCATTCATAGATGTCCATAATCAGGAAGCTTAAATCAGGATCAAACTAAGGTGTACCTATTGCATTTGGTTGATGTATCCTTAATGTCCTTTTTTTTGGTACAGGGATCGAACTCAGAACCTGTGCTTGTGAGGCAAGCACGGTGCCACTGAGCTAAATCCTCGGCAACTTTCTTAACGTCCTTTTAATCTACAGATCTGTCTCCTCTTTTTATTGCATTTTTTTAATGAATTATTGACCTGTAAAAATTTCCACATTATATGTTTGTCCTGGTGCATCTTCATGGTGTTGTCTAACATGCTCCTCTTTCCTTCATACTTCTGTAAACTAGTCATTAGGTCTAAAGATTTACAGAGATGCAAGCTCAGTTTATCCCATCAGAAGGGACACAGTGTCTAATTGCATTCAGAAGGCACACAGTGACTAGTTGCATCATTTTTATTGATGTCAGGATTGATTGGTGGATTCTGTTACAGTTAAACAAATTGATCCATAATGACATTCTCTATCAAACTGTTAATCAAATAGCTTTAGCAACCGTTGCAGTTGAGGCCTGCGTCCATCAGGGCCTACAAAATAGTGATTTTCATTTCTGTCATTCTTTCTACATTTATTAGCTAATATTCTTCTATGTAGGAAAACTCATTAACAACTATTGGGATACTCTAAAATACAGCTCATACAAGAAAAGCAGCATTAAAATAAGAACCAAGATGCATTATGTAAAGGTACCATTCCCAATGAGAAATGTAATTGTGTTGTATACCTACAATGTACCAATAAAAGAATTGAATACAAAAAAAAAGAAAAGAAAAGTAGCATAAATACCTTTCTATTTATTTAACAATTTTCAGAATATTGAATTGCTTCACCAACCTCCAAAAGGGACTAATGAGATTTGTTGGTTTTGTATATCATTATAAACACCCAGCTTTGTATACATTTCATGTGTGTTATTATTCTTGTGATCCCCAGAAAGCCCACTTCAATCAATGGGATCCCTTCAAGTTGCCTCTTGTCACTGTCTTCTCCAGGAGGATAAGATACCCCAAGCTCCTGGCCCAAACATGGAATCAAGTACTTCTACAAGAGCCTGAATTCCTTTCCATAAGAAAGTTTGTGAAGAGTGTAGCCTGGCCACAAGGAGCACATTCCCTCCCCAAAATGGCTGTATGTGTCTTGGGGTGGTGCACCTCCTCCTCCTTGGTGTCTCATGCTGCATTTTGTCTGTGTTCATTTGGTCCCACATGGACAGCAACCCCCGCACCCCCAGCTCCTTGTGATTCCACTTCTCCAGCCACACAGTGTCTTGTCTTAGCCCTTTCAGCCTCCCCTTCAAAGTCAGATGCCCCCACTCATTGCTGGGCTCCTAAGATGCAGTGTGGGAAGCACGTCCGCAATGCTGAAGAATCGTGAAAACTTTTGTAATAAGGCTATTTATTTTAAACTTTTGCAGTTTACTAGTCCTCTTGTGAAAAGACCACACAATTACCACAGATAAAAATCTTTACTTCTTGGGCTGTTATCCAGTCTCCAACTTAATTAGCACCAACATTTGCCTTTGCAGTCCCCTATTTTCATTCTGTTCTACTGTTCCTTCCACTATTTTCTTGAGGTCCTTTTCTTCTTATACAGACCATGTCTTCCAAGTTTATTTTGGGGTTCATTTTTCTTTACATAATCCAGGGAATCATAAGTGATCCAACGCCATTTCTCTTGCTCCACCAGAGTGGGCTCTGAATTTGAACATCCAGTGTGCTCATGTACATTTTGGTTAGCTTTTCCCAAATTTTTGACTTAGGTACTAGTGCCTTCCCAGGGTGAAGGACGTCAATGACCATTTGCTTCTTCTGAAATAGTCAGGTGGTCAGGAACTTCCTGGTCTAGATAGTTACTGTGTCAAGGTGGCAGCCAATCCTCAGGCAACCAGGGTGGAAAAGCATGCTTTTATTTTAATTCTTAAATGGAGGCATCCTCTTGTTTTTATCCAAGCCTTTGATAGACAGATTTTGTCTGTTTTTAACCCAGAACAATAGTGCACAGAAACATGATGCAGTGAAATGCTCCAATCCCTAGAACTGGAGAGGCACCAGCCATCCAGCCATGTGTGGTGGCACAAGCCTGTAGTTCCAGCTACTGAGGAGGATGAGTCAGGAGAATCTTGTGTTCTGTGGCCAGCTTGGGCAGATTAGCAAGCCCCTGTCTCCAGTTTAAAATTTTTAAAAAGGGTTGGAATGTAGTTCAGTGGCACAGCATGCACAAACACACACACACACACACACACACACACATCAGTCCTCTCAGGTTTGTGTGTTTCCTAGGAAGCAGGAAATTTGAAATTTATGATATGCATGATCTCATATGTATAATATGATATGCAGAATGATATGCGTGTTGAAATTTTTAACTGGAGTTGCCAGGCAATTAAAAAATGATTGAGGAATGAGTTTATCTTAACCATTTTTAGACCATATACCATTTGAATACCTGATAAAAATGATGGGTCATTTCTAGAAAAATGTACATACGTACAAAATTTTATAGGCAATTTCACAGGCTTTACGGACCTTAAATCACCTTAGAGTGTCATTTATTGTAATAAACTAGATCCCGACATAAACTAGATCCTACTAGACTCAGTAGGATGTGGAAGGCACAGGAAAGCACATAGCTGAAACCAGGATGCTAGCTTTAAATCACTCCACAGAACATGAACTGTTCTTTGGTACAGAGCTGCTCATCACATGTGTAGACATTATGTGTAGGCATTTGAAGACATGGATAGAAACTTGACATTGACTCACATCCAGTGAATGGTGTTTGGACTTGTCTCATTGAATAGAACCGAAACGATCTGGCATGCTGTCAAGTTCACACGGTGAGTTGCAGGTGGCAGGAGCTGTGTACTGGCCATGCAAACAAGACCCCTTATCATTCCTCGACAGATTACAAATTTAAAACTAAACCAAAAACTGATCCTTCTTCCCAGTCTAAAAAACACTGGTAGTGAACTCCAGAGTGCTTGCATTTCCCCACGGCCATGCTGTTTTGCCTGACTTCCTCCACTGTGCACCTCTACCAAACACACCTAGAACAAGGCATATTGAAGGCATTCAGTCAGTCTATGCTGAACTAATCCAGAAAACAGCAAAATTGCTCTCCAGAAAGAGAAGCCATGTTCTTTCCCAAATAATCTCCTACAAGAAAAAAAAATCTGGTAAGTTGCTTACAAGAAGAAAGTACAATAGGAACTAATTGTAAGCAGTCATTAACTTTACTGACGTTTCTCATAGAAAGGAAAATAAACAGAATGATATTAAGTAGCTGACTGAGCCTCATTGTAGACATCACAAGACTCTTGGGACGGTGTCTCCAGGTACACATCGTGTGGAATACCAACTCATAGTACCAAATGCTATCCTTTCTCTAGGCAGAAAAACTAAAGTGATCATAAGTCTAATGATAGTAGCTGAGGAAAGAAAATAATGTATTCAATAAGATTTTATAAATGACAGGGAAATACGCTAGTACATTCTCTGGTTTTCCCCTTCTTCCACCCCTGTCTGTCATCTCTTTCTGCTTCCCTGAGGATTTAGGATTAGTGAAATCTGTTCTTTGAAGGACTCCAAAATCTTGCCTGTAAGAACTGAGTTTGTGAAAAATCACCTTTAGCTTTCAAGCCTCCTGGCAGCCTGAGGACCAACTGCCAGATGGAGGAGTTAAATGCACCTTGCCTTCCTCAGCTCCAGAAGAGTGTGTTGTGCACCCCCAGTACGCCTTGCTCCTCTCAGCCACTGCTCCACACCATGCAGCACATCTGTGACACAACGGGCTGCCAGGGTGATGGAATAAACTTGAAGTCACCAGCTGTCTCACTTATCACAGAAAAGGACTTTACCTTAGGACTTTGCAATTTGTGAGGAGCCAGTCCCTGCAGAAAGAGCCAGGACACAGGTTTCCTTCTCTGTTTCTTTTTTTTTTTCAATTGAGTAGAATCAGAAATATTATCTGCTAACAGTGAAAGAAGAAAAACTGAGACTGTCTCACACAGCTGGTGAAATTGGTAGTAGAGGATATGTGTTGCAAAGTGACAACTGGTTTGCATTTTTCAACAACTACTAAATGAACTAGATATTTTCTGGAAATAACTCTGTTTTTTAACATCCCTTCTGATCAACACAGGCAGTTTGCATAGTGCATAAAAAGGAAGGAGAAAGTTGCCCTGCTTGTTGTGCAGAAGATACTGAGGGGATGGTGGAGGTTGTCCATGGTCTGTGGGCCCAGGATGCTCACAATTGCTGAAGTCTGATGGGACCTTTGTCTTCACAAATAAAACGCCTGATAACCCCGAGTGCCAGTAGCATTCGAAAAACATGCAACACAGAGGGCTTATCTGAATGACTATTTTCAAGTACAAATGACATTCCTGAAATGGAAGACAAGAAACAGTCACGTGTGGGGTTGAGCCGCGGTCCCATTTTCGCCAGTGTTCTCCAGCAGTGTCTGATATTAAACGCTCACTGCTCCACTCTTCTGACTCCTACATGGGAGTTTCATGGTTAATGAACCTTATATGATTATGGTAACCATTCCAGGCATCAAGCCTGGGGCTCAGCACTTTATGTTAGTGGATATTTTTTAAATCTTTATAATATCCCTAAGAGATCAGTCTTTTTATTATTCTCTTTTATTAGTCAGGAAACAACTAACTCAGATCATATCCTTTGTAAGTGGCCATGCTGGTCTCAGAGCCTGGTCTGTCTAATTTCTCAGCCTTAACAGTCATACTGCCTTGTAGGGTTTTTGTTTGGCTTTGGTTTGTTCTCCAAAGGAGTGTGTGTAAGGTCCTTTGCTTCCCAGTGAGAAAGATTCCAAACCATCTTCCAACATGGAACTCACAGCAGCCATGTGAAGGACTAGAAACTGGCCACAGCATGGTCATGGAAAGGTAATAATTAATGAAAAGGGTGTCACTTAAGGAGGCCAGTGACGATGAGCATATGTTTCTCTTGGATTAGCTTTTCTAACACTCCTTAAATAGTATGTTGATATCAGCAGAGACCAAAATGAACGCAAACAGACCTTAACAGTTTAAACCTCTGGAAAGAAAAATAGGAAAATAAAGCATCAGTTTCACAATCTCAAACCCTTATCCTTCTTTTTCTATGTCAGTAACTGCAATAATTACCATTGGTAGGGGCATTTTTGTGCCACATAATTTGCTCGCCATTAATTATCAACAGTCCCAAAAGGCAGAAATTGTCACAGCTTTACAACTGAAAACTCTATGAAGTTAAAAACTTACATCTCCATGTGGAATCTTAGGAGGACTTTCCCTCCAGGAAATTGACTAAAATTTCAAAATATACAACAGAAGTAATAAGAAAAACAAATTTATGAGCACTTCCAAGGAATCTCTTACCAAGTCACAAGCAATTTAGGACCTTCTGTAGTATGGTCCCTTGTCTTTGATAGGGAAGAGCAGCAATTAAAAGATAGCGAGGTCTGCACTCCATTTTAAAACCAGCTGACTGTGAGCTGGAGACCCTTGGTTTGACCTATAAAATGCTCTCTGCAAGGACATACGTAACGGACAAGTGCCTTCTCAGCACAGTGGTACAGCCCAGCCTCCTGTTTGTCTATGATTTGGCAAAGTCCTTCCAACCCTCTTTGTGGGTAGTAACCCGATAATTCCCCCAGAAAGTTCCAAGGGCTGAGCGTATGGAATCAAAAGCCCCAACACCAGGATCCCAGCAGCATCACCTGGATGAGTTCTTTAATGTTTCTGGACTGGGTCCTGCTGACTAAACAGGAGGGCACATTCCTCAGCAGGAGGGTGTGAAAATGATGCTGTCCTCCTATCAGAGTCACATGGAGCTCCTAGAAGAACATATGAATGATCTGGGTTCTTTCAAAGGTGGAAATGGGTCTTTTAAGGGTGAGTGATTACGACTGCCAACAAACCAGAGATTTCCTTCACTCTAGCCTTTTCTCTGCAGCCTTAGGGACTAGAGTTTTCCATTCTTCTTGTGAGATTATGTCTCCCAGAGTTTATCGTAATCCCTGCTTTCAGCACCTTTGTGAAATAGAAAGAAGGCCCTGCAAACTGATAGTCGCCTTGCAACTTGAACTTGTCTGTCCAAAAGAGTAACTGTGAGCTCTGACTTTCAGTTCATTTCAAGTGAGGAGCCAGCATGCCTGAGTGTCACTTCCTGCCATTTACTAACACAGGGAGCCCCTTGACAGAGGCCATGTGGACTCCACCAGCTCATGGCTTATCAGTCCCCGAGAATGAGCATTTCTTCTTCCTATTTATTACAGCTTGTACCTTTGGGTAGTTTTGGTTTGGTTGTTTTTACCTCTTTCCCTTTTTCTCTTTGTTCTCTCTTATTCCTTCTTTCTCCACCTCCTCCTCTTTTTTATCCTCTCTTTTCTCTCCTCCACTCTTCTTATCATTTTATTTAATTACTAAATCCAGTAAGTAACCATGAAAAAATCAATTGCAACTGCAAAGAGGACAGCACAGGCTCAGCTTGGAAAAACAGACTTAAGATATTAGAAAAATAGAATGTGCTCTGAGTTATAGTTAACAATGAAAATTATGCTATAGGCCGGGGATTTAGCTCAGTGGTTTTGCCGCCTGCTGCGCAAGCGCAAGGACCTGAGTTCAATCCCTGGTACCAAAAAAAAAAAGAAGAAGAAGAAAATTATGCTATAAAGGACGATTTTATATTTCTACCTTTATATCATCTGAATAATTTATACCTAATGCCAAGAAATTATATGTAATTGGTTTTAGTAATGTGTATTTTCCAATTTGATTATATAAAAGTGAGTAAGGAGCACGGGTTTTTTCACTAGTAAATATCTGCCTTCTTTCTTACACCCCGAGTCTGTAGTGAATGTATCAGGGTGGGACTCAGGCAGAACTGAAGAGAACAAAAGTTGGAAGGCTTTCACCAAGTTTGATTCGTATCTATGAATCTGAGAGATAATATGAAGTTAACCAATTGTAAGGGCCGATACTGAAGGGAGGTTTACACCTCACCTCTTGAAACCATCATGTAATTTTACATTTCTTCCAATCAGAAAATTGCATAAAACACAGTAGGTGGAAAGGCATATTTAAGTTATTCATAATAAAGTTATTCAGTTAAGTATATGATATCAGCCATATTGCATAGTAAAATGAAGTTGACAATTGTTTTAATTGATGACTTCTATTGGCTTTTGGTAGATTACTTCTGTATGTTTATTCCACATAACTTACAGCAGTTTTACCTTTTCCAATTAGAGGATAGATTTCACCCTTTACCTTTGCGGGAAACTGATCCAAGACATTTTTATGTAAATGGATTAATTAATTGGTAGCCTTCATTTGGAACTTAAAAAGAAAGTAATCCGTTTTGAGAGGCATTAACTATTTTTTTAAGCCACAAACAATTCTTTACTTAAGCACCTTGTCACACAATTAGAAATTATTTGACAGCAGTAATCATAATAAAATGCATTACCCCTTACCAAATCAGCCTTGTTCCAAGGTGATTAAAGGAATCCATTCACTAGAAGGCTGGGCAGCAACCTCATTCATAAAAACAAAATCACATTTTTGGAAACTTAAGGGTACCTATTGACAAAACTCTTGGACAGATGACATCACAAGTTGAATTACCCACACAGCCTTTCTGAGAAGGCATCTAGTCCCAAAGATGTGCAAGATTCCAGGAAAGCCTGCTACAGCTGGCCTGCATTGAGAGCCCTTGTGCCTGTCTGCCTTCCAGCCCTATGATTTATGCAGATCAGAAGGCTTTGGCGATTTCCACTTCCTGGCTAGGCCAGGCCAGCATAATCCACTTCCTTCGAGTTCTGTGACCATGCAAATTTGAGCACTCCTGAACAGTCCCGGAGGAGTTGTGCCTCTCATTATTCCTGCCCCATTCTCCGTGCAGTGCAAGCATTCAGACTATGAATGGACAAGAGTTTAATTACTCACCACATCTGTCAGATCAGATTCAACTCGAGAATGAAGAGAATCCCAGACAAGCCCAGTCGTTTCTTTGCAGTGTTCTTCATGGCCGAGGTCATCCAGCTCTGTCTTCTAGGGAATATTTTCCACTCCTTGTTCCATGACCCTTCTGGAAAACAGGGACCCCAGCTTTTGGAGATCCATTACTGGGCTTTTCACATTGTGTGTGGCCTTTACAAGTGTTAATTAATCTCCCTGATGAGGCACTGAGCATCGGGGAGCCTTTTATTCCCCCAGGGCTACTGATGACCAATACGTATGCCAGAAAGTTTTTCTTACTGTTTCCTGACCCCGTGCTCTTCTTTGTACGTGCTTAGCTGCTTCCCTCCTCCCCAATGTGTCTCCACATGACAGATTGACTTCTCACATTACTAGGTCAACCAGAGTCTGACACAGTAAAGGTGGAGGACCCCAAGTAGAGAATATACCTAAAAGGAATGAGGTTCTTGCCAATTAAACCTTACCAAGGCCTTGCAAGGAAAATGTGAATAATAACAAGGCCACTGGGAACCAGGCAGGTGTATGCTCCCCCCCTCCCCACCGTACTGGAAACTGAACCCAGGGCCTTTGCATTGAGCTATATTCTCAGCCCTTTTTTCATTTTTTAAATTTTGAGGCAGGGTCTCTCTAAGTTGCCCAAGCTGGGCTCCAAGTTGTGACCCTCCTGCCTCAGCCTCCCAGAGCTTTAGGATCACAGGCAGGTGCCACCAGGCCCAGCTGAGCCATGCTTCTTGAATGGGCACCATCATGCAATCCCCTAGGTCTCTAGCTGTGTTGGTGTCCTTGGGGTTAAAAGGAGATTCTTTATCTGTGCAAATCTAGAATACAAGCTTCCATTGCTATGGTGATTTTCATTTTTGCTTTGATCTGTTTTCAAATTAAAATACATTCCACATAAAATTAACCATTTTAAGTGTATCATTTGGTATCATTCAGTACATTCACAATGCTGTACAACCATTACCTCCATCTGTCTAGTTCCACAGCATTCTTCTTACTCTCAAAGGAAACCCTGAACCTATTAGGTACAGTACTCGCTGCAGTCCCCAGCGCGTCTCCATGGATTCCCTGTTCCAAAATTTCATAGAAAGTGTGTCATGCAGTATGTGATCTTTGTGACTGGCTTCTTTCATCCAGCATAATGTTGGGCTTTGCCGTAGTGTTCCACTGTGGCATCTTCTCGGCTGTGTGCATGCACACACTTGCGTTTATCGTTCAGTCAGTTACTCCTTTTCTTGTGTTTTCTGTCTTGGATAACATCATTGCCTGGCCCCTCCTCCTCTGACTCCTTTTGCCTAATTGTATTTTAAATTCTGAGGAATCCACCTCTGAAATCCCCCAGTCAGTTCTCATTTACATTCCTGCTGCTCCTGCCCTCTTTGAGACACCATTGTTCCCCAGCTGGTCTTTCTCGGGTACATACCCATCTGACCAGTCACAGCCCTGCTCAGTTTCCTGCAGTGGCTCCTCCCTGCCTGCGGAGCAGGATTCATACCGAGCCAGCTGAGGCTGCCCAAGCCTGCATCTCCGCTGCCTCCTCACTCCTGTCCCTGTCTGATACACTGTGTCTGGTCCCGCTTCATCAGACTGCTTGTGGGTCTCGGACACATGGTGCTCACTTGCTCGGTTATCCCTTTTATGTGTCCTGTTTCCTCCCCCTAAAATGTCCGTCCTCTCCCCTGAAATGCAGTAATGTGTTCCTCCTTTACGATTTTTGCATTTTACATTCTCACCTTCCCTGATCCGCTAGGGCGTGAGTCGGAGTAAATTTCTCCTTTCTAATCCCTGGCATTTTATTTATCATAATACTTGTACGGCCAGTTTTTAATTAGGGCCCTTTGTACATCTCTGTCATTTTTTCCACCGAACTTTAAGCTTCTTGAGGGTAAAAATCTTGCTTGACTCATTTTCATATCTCGGCCGCCAACCACTGTGTAAGTCCTCAGTAAGTATTTCATTGTGTGATTTGTATCTTGTTCCCCAAGAAAAACCTGTGCTAGGTCATGGAGAGGCTGTCAGGAGCACAGTGACAAGGACTAGCATTCACAATAGGAGTGACTTTGATCTGTCACATTTAAGTTACCCGCAGTGGTTTACCAGTTTCAATTAGCAAAAAATGCGGCTTTTTCTCCCTCTGTCTCTGATTATGTTCTTCATTACAGATCTCAAGAGTTTTACATGCTGTTGCCAAAATTCTTCTTTTTGACAAATTGCACGGGAGGCATTTTGAGATTGAAAGATAGAGCTGATTGAATTTAGGCCAAATTCTGTACACTTGTTTCACTCAGAACAAAAATGCAGATGCAGGGCTCCTCAAAAATGTATCTATTGATTTTATCCCAGCCCTCTAAATTCATCTGTCTTTACAAACAAACAATTGGATGCTTCTTAAATTAAATGCCAAGTAAACAATGCAAATAAAACCATTTTGTTTGCTGAGAAGTAATTGAAAATCTGCAACTAATTACAAATTGGCAGGACCTACACCTACAAATAGCTGAAGTACTTCGCCGATACATTGTTTACAGCTGGGTTCAAAACTGGTTTCCTCGCACCAGCCATCCACAAGTTATTAATCAATACTGTGCCAAGTTCTATACCTCACCTTCAAAAAATTGTAATAAACATTTAATTTTCAATATGTGCTTCATAAACAGAGCTCTTAAAAACTAGAGGACGTTTAATTGGTTAGAACACACAAAGGCTTTTCTTAGGTTGTGTGAATTGGCTTTTCCTTTAACTACCTTGTTCCTCAACGACTCAGAAATCCTGCAACTTCTTTGAAAATAATATTCTGTCTGTCTAGTCACTGAGTCCCCTCTGGCACTTCAAGTGCCACCAGACCTTCTTAATTGAAATTCTGTAGAAAAGCAGCACATTCATGGACCACAGGAAAACAGAGATCAACAAATGTAATTTGAGATTACTACAAGTATGTAAAGTAGAATTTACAAATGACCGTTTGGAATGAACAAGTTTACAAAATACATATATGTAAAAACTGAAAATATATGTTTTTCTTGGAATGTTATTTCTTTACCTCTTCACTTGGCTGGCTTTTTTTCCTTCAGTTTAATATTACTCTTTAAAAAGGCTTTCCCTGTTTACTTTTCCTAATGTCTTATACTTTTTTGTCTCTATTTATTTACTTGATTATTCTGAGATGCTTCCACTTGGTTGTAAGCTGTGCAGGGGCCGACACCTGGTGTATCTCGTTTACTGTTCTAACCTTAGTCCCTGAAAGTGTCTGCTATGTGGTAAGTTCTAAATAAGTAGTGGATAGGTAGATGGATTGATGAGTGAGTGGATGGATGATGGATGAATGGATGGATGGATGGATGGATGGCTAAATGAAAGAAATAAAACAAGGAATAAAGTTAGGTTGATGGGGCATGCAGCAGATAAAAACTGAAGGCTTATGAAAAGGCATGACCTTAAAGTGGCCCTTTTGAGGGCCGGAGATTTAGCTCAGTGGTTCTGCCACCTGCCTGGAAAGCGCAAGGTCCCGAATTCGATCACCAGTACCAGAAAAAAAAAAAACGTGGCCCTTTTGATAAGAAATTGAAGCTTGCTCTAAATTGCAGAATACAAACTGGGGTACACTTAGACATGACGGGAAGTGTTATATAACAATTTCTCTTCAACTTTCAGAAGAGTCATTCTGTGGAAAAACAAGTAGACCTTTCTTTGTGGCCCTGAAGGCTTAACTCAGGGCCTGTGGCTGAACACAGTGTGACCTAACAAGGAGGTTTCTCACTGAAACAGCTGCCCCCGCCATGGAAAGTGAGCAGTAAGATGATGTTGTTGGAAGTAGTTACATGTACTTAATACCTGCAAGAATGCTGTCAAAGGGGATGAAGGCATCAAATGTACTGTGGGTCTAGATTACTTGTCTGGTCCCTTCCCTTCCCACAACTCAATGATTCTGTAGTGATCAAGCCAGAAACCCATTAAATAGTTGATAATTATTTTAATAAGAGAAATTCCAATGAGATGTGCGTTATTCATTTGTCCTATAGGGAGATAACTTTAAAAAGTGATTTAAATGAGCTAATGAAAATGCCCTAGTAAAAGAATAAGACTGAATGTTAAAAGTTCTTCCCATCTTCTGTTCCCTGGGATGCCTTAGACAGGGGTGCACAGTATTTCAGGGACATTGTGAGCGAGGAACCTGCATTCCCAGGGAACGTCAGGGGCAGCAGGTCAGGTCTTACTCAAGCCCTGTGATCTCAAGGCAAAGCCTACCTCAGAAATAAAGTGAGACACTCCATCCATGTGAAGATGACTGTCAAGGCCACTGAGACACAGTATTCTGGCAAATTGAAGCTGGCTGTGGCCACCTTTCCTTTCAGGACATACTTCTGGGGATCACAAAAATATTTATAAATTGATGAGTCTCTATTGCTGAGTCAGTTTCCTTTCAGTTCTTTCTCCTTTCCTATTTATTATGAGTTTGATACCTGAGCTGTAGACAGGAGCCTCCCAGATGGGTGAGGGAGAGAGCAGAGGATGGAAATGTGCCCCCTGCAGGCAGCTCTGGGCATGGCTGTGCCTGTCCTGCAGGACTGGCCACATGTAACCAGATTGGTGTTTTGTCTGGTCAATACAGAAGTTTGGATTGTTTACAACCCAGTTCTTATCTTGTCGGGATATTGAATACTGAGAATGAAGGGTGGAAGTTTAGATTGCCCACCAGTTTCTAGTCCATCAGGTTTATGTCTCATTGGGGGGCTTCTGTCAAGCCCGTGGGCATGGAGCTGCTGGCAAGTTTCCCCTCCACCCCCAGTGTTCCATGTCCCTGTGTGCCCCTTCATCTAGGTAGAGCCCACTCATCTTACTGGGCCCAGCTGCAGAGTTACCTTTTCTTTGAAGCTCTTTCAAGCCCTCCTGCAAAACAACCATTCTTTCCCCTGTGCTTCCTTGCTCTCCTCTACCATGGCTATCAGTTTGTGTTCTGGATCAGTGATGGCGAAGCTTTTAGAGACCAAGTGCCAAACTGCAACCCAAACCCCACTAATTATCACAAAGTGCCAACACTGCAATTAAGCCTGAATACGCAGGGTTTAGTTTAGAAAAAGCACCTCATCCATTAACATGTTTTGTCTTAAAAGAGAAATACAATAACGTGCATGCCATAGGTTCGTCATCACTGTTCTGGCTTATTCCATACAGACATTCTGTCTTCCAAGGCTAGCAGATCTTTGAGGACAGGGAATGAGTTTCTTTTTCTCTTTGTCTCTAGGAATCAGCACCATTCTGGACACAGAATAGGTCCTTTGTGAATGCCTGGTGAATTGAAAAAGAAATGACTTAGACACCTAAAACATTAAAGGAATTAACATTTTAGACTTGGATAGGAATCAAGACATATGAAGTTCCATGTGAAACTAATCTCTTCTCCCTGATACAACCTGATTAAACAGTGACAGTTTCTTCCTCTCATGAGCCACCTGGAACCTAATGGTTATTTTCTTACAAGGTGGTTGTGTTTATAATGTGACAGCGCTGTGTTTACCTTGGAAAGAGGGCTGTCCTTCATTAAGAAGCTTTCAGCTGAACCTGAGAGCCAAGTTATGGTGTTGTGGGCAAAGAGCCAGGAGGGAAAGCCTAGAGGAAAGCCCTTGAAAAGGAGAAATACTGTCTCACCCAGTCCCTGTATCTTACGGCATCAAGTAAAGACCTAGCAGAGTGATCCATCCAAGGCCTGAGCTTGCTGCAAATGGGCCCCACGTTCTCAGAATCACATGCAGTCCCTCAGAGTCAGAGGCCACTGAGCCGCCAAGCAGACAAGGCAGATGGAATGTTGCACAGCTGCACCCTGGATGCATTTCCCAACACCTCCCTGTCCCACAGCGATGGCTCGTCAGCATGCTGTTTCTGCCACCTTGTCACACTTGTCTGGAGATTCGGCACCCGTGTGTGGAGAGCTTGTCCCCAGTCTTTTTTTCTCAGCACAAGTTCAACTTCCTCTGGTCTTATCGAACCCTTTGTTTCCAAAATTCTTAATCAGCCACTTGGGGTGGGGGGTAGTGCTGCTCCTCATTTCCTCCATCCTCCGTACCAAAGGAAAAGAGAGAAACAGTTGGCCGTGGTGGGGATGGCCATCTTACCCTGGTTCCCCAGTGCTTGTCTAGGAAGGCTAAGGCTGTTGAATTTGGTCAGCTGCGTTTCGGATGTACTGCTGGAATTTACTTGGCAGCTCAGCTTAAAGAAACACATGGCCCCAGATTGTTCCATGCTACAGATATGGGGCTTTTCCATGCTAAAGAGACTTCACAGATGAAATATGGTTTTCCGAACCTCTTTTTATTTACCGTCGTAATAACAAGTGACAGCTGGTATTTCAACAGAGACACCCTTCTTACTCAGTTATTCAACGAAGAATGTGCCATTGTCTCTGCTGTAGAATTTTATTTTATTTGTAAATTGTGCGTGCTGCATGCTACGGAATACTGCAAAGCCATACACCCTGGCTTGTTAGTTGACACACAGTATGTGTGATTACAAATTGTTTGAATAACAGTGGACTATTGAACTGCCATCCAGATGTATGTGGAGTTAACTGTGGGAATGTCCACAAAGGAGGATTATCTGTCTTATTGCCAAGGCCAACCCCCCAGAAAGTAGAAATGTAAGCATGGAAGCTACTTAAATAGAACAGTAGCTACAAATGGCTCTTCAGAGGCAAAATTTCTCATTTTTAAAAATTACCCATTGCAATGAGACTGAATTTGTTCTTTCAAAAGTAAGTTATGCAAAGAAAATGGCAAACAACAACCAAACCAAATTAGAATTTTGAATGCCCTTTGCAAATGATTTGTTTTATATTTAAGTCCCTAGAAATTCAGAACATGGTAGGTTCAAGACCCCAACCATCCTGAGCCATTGAGCTGTCTTGCTATGTTCAGAACGTGTTTTTTCTGCTCTCTCTTTCACCCTATCTGCTGTATAGCAACACAGCCATTAATTGGTTGATGTTCACTATACTGGTGAGTGGAAAACAATGCAGAAGTCCTCTGTGACTGTTTTTTTAAAGATATTTGAAACGCAGTGAGATGCCACTTCCCATCCACTAGGATGTCTAAAATAAAAAAAGTTAGACACTAATAAGTGTTTGTAAGGATGTGAAGAAATTGGAACTCCCATATGTTGCTGATGAGAATACAAAATTGAACAGCCACTTTGAAAAACAATTTAGCAGTTCCAAATATTAAACATGGAGTTGCTATATGGCCCAGCATTTCCACTCCTAGGTGTGTATATCCAAGACAAATGCAAACACAGATCCCCACAAAAACTCATACGTGAA